CTTTAATCCCAGCACTTGGGAGGCAGAGGCAGGCAGATCTCTGTGAGTTCAAGGCCAGCCTGGTCTACATAATGAGTTCCAGGACAGCTGGGGCTACAGGGAGACCCTATCTCAAAGAGACCAAAAAATAATAATAATAATAAGCAAACAAAACAAAACAAAACACAAGTTCTACTCTGCCTGGTTGTTGATGCTGTGTGGCCTTGGGTCACCCTCACCCTCTCTGACCTTTACATCCTTACGTGTAAGAAGTAGAAATCCAAGCTATAGACATGTCCACAGAAATGTCTACTTGGGAAAAGTCACAGGGCAGACTTTCCTCCCTCTAGCTGGCTAATGGCCAGGCTCCACACACAGCGGACACATCTGGATCCCCACACCCATCAGCTTTCCCCTTGGGGGGCCCTCCTTGTGCTAATTATAGCAGGGCTGGGAAGCCCCACATAAGGTCAGAATTGACAAGAGGGTGACTCCAGCAGGAAGCCTCAGTGTCAACCTGAAATTGTGAAGAGCACTGGCCACCCATGTACTAGCTTCCCTGGCTAGCCCTAGGTTCTAGCCATGGAGTAGTTAGCGGGCAAGGTAAAGGACTCCACACTCCCCCAGGCCTGCCTTCCATCCTTCAAAGCCCTGGTTTGGACAGAGATGAGCAGGGCCTCCTGAGCCTGTCCCCTGGTCCACACAGAGGCTTGTGGATGCTGCAACCACCCCAGTGTCCCTAAAATACTTCTCAGCCCATAGAGGACATGGGGTTTGTGGTGGTTTGAATGAGAATGTCCCCCATAGACTCCAAGTATTTCAACATTTTGTCCCCAGTTGTTGGCGCTGTTTTGGGAGGTCTTGGTGTGGACATGGAGGAAGCACATAACTGGGGGCGAGTTTAGGGAGTTCTTAAGCCTTGGCAGATCTCGAGTTGCTCTCTTGTTTCCTGCGCCTGCTTGAAGATGTAAGAGCTTAGCTTCCCCTCCTCCTCCAGCCACCTCTGCTGCCATGCCTCCCCAAAATGATAGACTCTTGCCCTTTGGAACCAGAAGCTCAAATAAACTCTTCCGTCTATAAGTTGCTTTGTTCAATGTTTCTGTCACAGCAACAAAAAAAGTAACTAATACAGGGTTCTTCAGGTCAGCTGTTTTGGACTGGGTCTGGAGACTTCTCTCCAACCCCCACCCCCCACCAACTCCTAAAGAGCTGTCCACTCAGCCAGGCTCCCTAGGGCCTACCTCCAAACCTTCCCTGTAGTGAACTTCCTCAACCTATCCAACTTTATCGGCAGCCCTGAGATGCCTTGGAGAACAGCCCTGACCCCAAGAGAGGTCTCTATCCCTCTCCACCCTCCTATAACCTCCACACAGGACTGTTAATCACAGCACTGGTCTGCCGTGTCTGCCTCTGGGAGGGTCTGCCGTGTCTGCCTCTGGCCTCTCCTGCACATCTGCCTGTGGACAAAGCAAGGGAAGGTTTAGATCCAGTCATTTCTGAGTCTACTGGCCCAGTAAACAGATATTCACAGGGAACAGAGCAGCATGGCCCTGCAGGGATAGTGGGTGGTCTGTGTGTGGCTTTGAGATTCCTCCAGACCCCTGAAAATACTACTGCACCTCAAATTCGGCACCCATCAATTCAGTTCCCAGCCCTATTTGATCAGAGTCCTGTTGAAGCAAAGAGACAGGCTAGGAGCTGGGATAGCACTCTGACAATCTTGGGAAGCTCCTCTGCTTTCCCCTGGGCCTTGGGTCCCCTGCCCCTTCACTAAGGCATGAAAAGATGAAATGTGGCCTAACTTGGGGTGAATGACTCTCCCTCCCAAGCACACTTGGGTGGTGGGCTCCATCTTGCATCTGTAGAATGGACCTTAGGCTTAGGCTTCTAATGCTTTGCCTCCCACCCTCAGACCCAGCTCTGTGCCAAGGCCTGCACACATTCCAAGAAACTGAAAGAGCACAGAGACTTGCCTGTCCAGTTGTCTGTCCCTGAGCCAGGGTGCTGGGTGGTACTCTGGGTGGGGCAGCTAGGAACAAGCCCTGTGGGTGTTTTAGGGTGCCTACTATTCTAACTTTCCAAGCAATCCTACTCTCCATCCCTCTCCGGGGGAGGAAATGCACCGTCCCCCAACTCCAGGTCACTTTCCTGGTTCAAATATGTATGGTCTACTGCTTTGTAACAGTGGATACTGTAAGAGCAGCTGTGGTCGTGTACTGAACGCGTACCATGTGGTAGGCACTGTGCTAAGCACGCCTGGTGCTGTCTCCTTTAATCCTTACAGCAAACACAGAGGCTGTCCATCATGAGCTCCATTTTTTGAGGCTTAAGGGCTAATGTAACTTGTCTGCCAACACGAGAAGACTGGGCTGGAGTCCAAGTTTTAACCACCAAACCGAACTCTTCAGCTTCTGGCTGCCACTCCTCGCCTGAGTCCCTCTTTTAGGGGAGGCCCATGTCCTCTCTCTCACCAGTCCAGAGGCCCTGGGTGTGCGCCTGCCTAACTCCATGGAAGTGGGCTTCATAGAGTCACAGTGCACTAAGCAGGCAGGCAGTCCTGTTCCTGCTCCCTGCCAAAGCTCTGCTGCGCTGACATTTAAAGCATAAACAAAGCATAACTCCTTGAGGGCAGAGGGTAAGAAGGCGGCGATGACAGTGAACAAAAGATGTCAACAGAAAAAAAAAAAAGACAAAATAACAGAGTATTCTGGAAGCTGGAAAGCAGATGGTCAGCAGTAGCCAACTTGGTAAAGCAACAGATGCTAAGAGCTAGGGCCTGCGGGGAGAAACGATGAGAGAACAGAACCCCAGAAGGCTTGTAAGTTAGGGTCTCAGGGACCTTTAGCCATTGGAAACCAGTAGCGCTGAGGACCAACCAATCTGAAAGTCTCTGGGTGGATAGGTGACTGCCACCACCCTGCCCAGCAGAAAAGAGATTCAGGAGGATCTGGACCAGGAATGCCAGGCACAGGCACAGGCCCAAGGCAGAGGGACCTGAAGAGGAAGGGACACCTAAGAAACTGCACAGTGAAGCCTTAGAAGTCAGGAAGCCCTGCCCATTGGAGGCCAGAAAGCTGCAGCCAGATGTGACACTTCCCCAGAAGACTAGAGTCCTCTGTGGGGATACCGAGTCACTCAGGAACATGACCTCAGATATTGGCCTTTAAGGATACCCCAAAGAAACAGTTCTATCCTGATCGGCCTTTCATCAGTGAATGGACCAAGTCCTGGCCAAGGCCACAGATCTCCCAATAGGCTATTGTTTCTGCTTCCATATACAAAACACATCAACACATTTTGAGAAAATCTTTAACATGAAAGAAATGCTTTTAGAAAAAATAACCCAGGGGCTAGAGAGATGCCCAGTGGTTAAAAGTGCTTGCTGCTCTAGCAGAGGATGGGAGTTTGGTTCCCACTACCCACGTAGGGTGGTGGTTCACAACTGCCTAAAACTCCAGCTCCAGGGGATTAGATGTCCTCTTCTGACCTCTGTAGGTACCTGCACACATGTGTGAATACACACACAGACACATAAATAAAAACAAAACAAATCTTAGAAAAAAAAAAAACAAAAAACCAAGCCGGGTGTGGTGGTGCATACCTTTAATCCCAGCACTCAGGAGACAAAGGCTGGTGGATCTCTGTGAGTTCAAGAGTTTAAGGCCAGCCTAGTCTACATAGCAATTCCCAGGCCAGCTGGGGCTTACAAGGAGACCCTATCTCAAAAAGAACAAAAAAAAAAAATCAAAACAAAACCAAAAAAACTAGTGGGCTGGAGAGATAGCTCAGCAGTTAAAAAGTACGGACTGCTCTTGCAGAGGATCTGGGTTCAATTCCCAGCACCCACATGGCAAATGTAACTCCAGTTCCAGGGGATCCAACACCCTCTTCTGGCCTCTGTGGGCATTGCAGGACACTAGTGCACTTATATACACGCAAGCAAAACACTCATATACATAAAACAAAAATAAAGAACAACAGTTTTTTAAGAAACAAAAATAATTCAAAGAGCATAAGAAAAAATGAAATTCATGTTGTCTCAACCTCAGAAAAATAAGATAAGATAGTGCACTTGTGAAATAACAACAAGATAACCAAAAAGGGATATTTAGAGAGTACAAAAGTTCAGGGAATACAATAGAAAAAATATCAAAACTTTCAGCTGGAGAGATGGCTCAAGGGTTAAGAGCACTGGTTGCTCTTGCAGAGGACCTGGGCTTGGTTCCCAGCAGCATATGGCAGCTAACAACCATCTATAACTCCAGTTCCAGAAAATCTGAAGCCCTCTTCTGGCCTCTGTGAGCACTGAATGCATGTGACAGTAGCATTCTGGGGACAGGATCAACCAAGGAGCCCTGATGTTTTTTCCCTTGGTTACATCCCTGCAGGAGCCAATGACTGTGCCACCAATGACACAGGAAGAAAGGAAAGGCCAGGCACCATAGAGTCTCTCTTTATTGGTAAGTGGAAGGTAGACCACTGGAAGTACATGCATGTTTACTGAAGGAAATAACTCTGAAAATCATCAAGTTAGCCTTGTGCACAATTTCCACTGCCCCAGAGGACATCGTTCTGTACAAAGCCAAGATAAATGGTAAAATGTATGCCAAGAATTTAGATTTAGGGGGTTGGCAAGATGGTTCAGTTATATCACTTGCTGTGCAAACCTGACAACCTGAACTTGATCCCCAGAACTCACATAAAGGTGGAAGGAGAGAACTGACTCCACAAAGTTATCCTCTGACTTCCACATATGTATCACAGCATATGCACCCACACATACACATACACACACACACACACACACACACACACACACACACACCAATAATTTTTAAGAAGAGAGCAAGAAGCACCTTAACTTAAAAAGAAGAGAAGGAGGAGAAGGATAAACAGGAAGAGGAAGAAAAATAAAAATTTAGGGCCAGGAGATGGCTCAGCAAGTAAGGGTGCTTGTCACGAAGCCTAATAACCTGAGTTAGATCCTTAGAACCCACACAGTGGAAGGAGAGAATTGATTTCCACAAGTTGTCCTCTGACCTCTACCCGAGCTCCCCTCCCCCAATAAATGTTAAAACAAAATTCCTTAAAGAAAATAGATTATTTTTTTTTCTTATTTATAAGTGGAAGTACAAAATAGCTTAACAAATTAAAAGACTGAGGAAGAAGGAAAGCATTCTGTTCCAGCTCCTCTCTTTCCTGGTCTCACTGTGCTGTAAGGCCGGTCACCCTCTCTCTCCAATATCACTTTCTCTCCAGCATCTTCCTACCTCTAAACACACACGACCCTCCTTGTCTGCAGCCTGCTTACCTTCCTCCCTTAGAGTTCTTCCCTTCTCCTTCCTGGACCCCAAGAGCTCCCACCATCCTCCAAGCCATGGTGCAGATATCCTGTCCAAGGAGACCCCTGAGGCCCCATATCTACGAGGTGCCCCACACATCCCAGCACCTGGCACTGTAGTGCCCCTGCCCATATCCCCTCATGGTACAGTGACCTAGTCTCCAGGGCTGGAGAGGGACTTACTCAAGAAACCTGGTGATGTACTCGCGGCTGCAGCGGGACCAGGTGAGCGGAGCGCCATCATACAGGAGCTGTGGAGACATGATGAAAGGCCGTTTCCCAACAGGCTCACAGTCATTGCCGCTGCCGTCATGCTGAATGCCAAAACTGCGTGAGAGCACAGGCCCCAGGGGCAGGTAAGCAGCAGGAGGCCATCAGGCCCCCCTCTTGTGGAGGCCCTCGAGGGGATTAGTTCTAGTTCCCAGGGTTGGCCCTGTCATCTATGGCTGTGTGGCCTTGAGAAAGTTGTGCACCATCTCTGAGCCTCAGTTTCCTTTATATGCAATGTGCCTGATGACAGCTGGTATTCCCCAGGGTCCCACTCTACATACATGAGCCAGAGCCTGAAAAGAGGACCCAAGACCCTCACAACCCTGTCCCTGTTCCCAGAGCCAGCCAAGAACAGCAACCCAGGAGTCACGGATGGGAACCCATCTTGGCACGGTCACACTGGCACAAAGATGACCTTAGCTATAAACTTAAAGATCTGAGCTACTATATTCCAGAAATGTCTCAAGAGACCACCCTTGGGAAGGTTCCAAGAAAACCTTTTTCCTGAGCACCAGCTATGGGCCAGGGTACCATGCCAGGCACTTGCAACAGCACAAACTCACTGAATCCTCATCACCCCGCAAAAATTTCGAGAGGTCAAGGAACCAGTCAGAGAAACACAGCCCAGACACGGAAGAATTGGGACCACCAAGACAGGCATGACTGTCACCAAGAACATGTGAATGGATGAGCCTAATCCCTCTGACCCAAGAGCTCTCTGGGATCCTGCTCTGCAGCTTCCAGACAGCCTAATTCTCCAGCTAACCAGCCTGGCACAGGTGGCAAAGGGGATGGGCCAGGCTAGAGATAAGCCTTGGCCACAGGTGACATCACTGACCACCCCACCCCCCAGCTATGGGGAGCACACAGAGGCCTAGAGAGGACATGGCACTTGTCCAGGGTCATAGGGGAGACCTATAGGAATGGAAGCAAGATGGCCAGGAGTAAAAGAGGCCGGCACTAGGGGCAAGAATGGGGTGGTCAAAGCCCTATGCACCATCTGACCATCCAGGTTCTTCCCATGTGACATGCCCCAGATGGGTCTCAGCAATGCCCAGGATTGCCTCTCTCCTGCTTACAGGGGAGTGTCACCTTGCTGGGGGTGCAGGGGCAGGGCAAAGGCAGCATGTAGCAGATAGTCGGGGCTGCCCCCCCAGACAGCGTCACTTCCTGGGTCTTTGTGGCCCATGAGCCTGGCTGTTGTACAAGGGTGGGAAGGTGAAGCCAGGTTCCTAACTGGCAGTGAGGGCAGGCGAGTTACCTGTGGCCAAGCTCGTGGGCCACAGTGAAGGCCAGCGGCAGGCCGGTGTCCTCACTGACGCTGCAGCTGAGGAGTGGGTGGCACATGCCAGCCACGTGTGACAAACCCAGGGTTTCACATGGGCGGTTCATGGCTGCACACAAGTCCTTCCTGCAAAGAAAGAAGCAACCACAGGCTCACTTGGTCCAATGCCAAGGAGGTAGGGAGGAGCCCAGGCCACCCAAGTGGCCTTTGAGAAACAGGTGCCCTTGTTCACAAATAACCTTCTCAAAGCTCAATGGGGCCTGGGAAGCAGATATGTGCCTAAAACAGTTTTGATACCATGCTCATTGCTAGAACCCAGCAGAGGGATCCTAAAAATACAGACCTTGGACTGATGAGATGACTCAGCAGGTAAAGGAGCTGTGGCCAAGCATGATATCCTGAGTTCAGTTCCCAGAACGCACATGATAGGAGAGAACCAACTCCCAAAAGCTGTCCTCTGAGTTCCATATTCACGTGTGCAATTTTTTTTGGGGGGTCTTTTTGAGACAGGGTCTCCCTGTAGCCCCAGCTGTCCTAGATTTACCATGGAGACCAGGCTGGCCTCGAACTCACAGAGATCGGCCTGCCTCTGCCTCCCGAGTGCTGGGATTAAAGGAGTGCACCACCATGCCTGGCCTCATGTGTGTAATTTTTGTACACCCATGCAATTTTTTTAAAGCAACTTAAGGGACTAGAGAGATGGCTCAGTGATTAAGATCACTGGCTGCTCTTGCAGAGGACTTAGTTTTGGTTCCCAGCATGCACATGGCAGCTAACAACTATCCGTTTTGGTTCCCAGCATGCACATGGCAGTTAACAACTATCCATTTTGGTTCCCAGCACGCACATGGCAGCTAACAACTATCCTTAATTCCAGTACCAGGGGATCCAACACCTTCTACTGGCTTCTGCAGGCATTACATTGCATATACTTAGACATGTGCAGGCAAAACACACATACACATAAAATAAAAATAGCTTCATTTATTTATTTTTTGTCTTTTTTGAGACAGGGTTTCCTTGTAGCCCCAGCTGTCCTGGAACTCACTATGTAGACCAGGCTGACCTCGAACTCACAAAGATCTGCCTGCCTCTGCCTCCCAAGTGCTGGGATTAAAGGCATGTGCCACCACGCCTGGCAAAAAATAGCTTTTTTTAAGAGGTACTTAAAAAATACAGATGGTGATGAGAAGGAGGTTGCAACTGAAAACAAGTGGTATAAGGGTATCTTCCAAGGCCAGTGCTCTATAAATGGACTCGGATATGAACTCACACAGCTGAATGGTACAGCAATATACACACACAAAAAAAAACCCTCACAAGTTGGGCATGGTGACACAAGTCTTTAATCCTAACACTTGGGAGGCTGAGGCAGGTGGATCTCTGTGAGATTGAGGCCAGCCTGGTCTACATAGCAAGTTCCAGACCAGCTGGGGCTACAGAGACCCTGTTTCAAAAAACAACAAAACTCCACACCACAGTCTGCACATACCATACATACCACATACATATACAGACCACATACATACCACACACGTGGCAAATACACATACGTCACCACACCATGCACATATCATACTCACACATACCACACACACATGCATTCAGAACTGTTGTGATCTAAGCACATCTTTGTATTGCACCCCTGCCCACTTCCTTCTTGGGATATTGCAACTTAGTTAGGCAAGACTTTATAGTAGGGGCCTGGAAGGAGGGAATGTAGGCTTCTCTGTACCACTTCTGACAGTAATGAGAATCCTCCACTCTCAGATCTTCCCCTCCTCCCCGGGTGAGCTACCTGGTGAGCAGGATGGCAGTGTCGTGGTGCAGTGGGTGGGCGTCCCCCTTCATGTTGATGCTCTTCTGCCACTTGCAGAAGCTCTTCAGAGTGTTATCTGCATGGTGCATGACCTTTAAGTCCTCCTGTGGGCAGAGAGTGGTGGCTCATGCCTCACCCTGAACTCCAAGGGACAAGTGCATTCCTCCACCACACCAAGGAAGGAATCAGATGTCCAAGGACAGAGGAAAGACAAGTACCCATGCCTCAACTTCCAGCCTCCAGCCTGACCACCCACCCTGCAGGAATCTCCTGGGGTAGAAGGGGACCTATGACCTGACAGGGTGTCTCAAGGACCAGAGGTAGCAGAGGACACAGTCTAGGTCAAGGAGGCCTCTGCTTGCCCCTCCTCACAAGGTACTCAGGGTTCAGGGCTCTGGCAGCTTATGCCCATTGCCGGGGCAGCCTGGGACTATGTGACCTCTCACCTCCTCATCTTCCAACAGGATGAGGCGCACGATGGTGATGTGGATGGGGTTTCCAATGCTGGGGTCATGAAACAGGCCGGCCACCTGTCCAAGAGGCAGGGGAGTCAGGCTATGACTGGGACGTAGAAGATGGGAATCTGTGCCCATCCTTAGCTACCCATGGGAATGCACACCCAGTCACATACACAGGTTCCTTCATGAAGGTGCACACACTACTGTGGACCTGTGTACATTAGTGCCTATCCGTCTCTACACCTGTATACATACCACCCCCAACCAGCACAAACAAAATCCTCCTGGGTTGCCTCCCAGGACCCTAGCTTGTCCAGAGCAACAGCTTAGAATCTGCTTGCAAGCACTGATCCATCTGCCTGCAGCACAGCCAACAGCAGCCCAGATCTTTGAATGCCATTGCTTGGCCCATCTTACAGCCCTGGATCTGCCCATTCTATCCTGGGGACACAAGGACTAGACCACCCATGGAGTAGATGTGAATAGAGCCTGGGAGTCAGGGTGGGGACAGATGCAGAAATGGAGTCTCCCTACCACTCTGCTGCCCCATCCTCTCTGAGTCTGGCAGCTTGGGGTCACGGAAGCCCATATGTGCCTGTCAGAGGTCCCATGGCTAATGGGGATGACTTACTGAGCCTCAGGAAACAGGGTCTCCCCCCACGAAGATGGACGGTGCATCAAGGTGCAGGAATGTGAATACCAATAGTCATCTCCTCCTTTAAAGCTCCCACAGAAAAAAAGGGAGGCCAGCTTACAAATGGGGACAGCTATCAAGTCCCCAGTGGGCAGAGAGGGCAGTATAGGTTGGTTATGACTTCTGACAAGACATCAAGAAAAATAATATTCAGTGCTCAACAGATAAGAGCACTTGCTGCCAGAGGACCTGAATTTGGTTCCCAGAACCTACATCATTGCTAACAACCAACTGTAAGTCCAGTTCCAGAGGATCTGACATCTTCTTCTGGCCTCAGTGGGTACTGCATGCACAGGAGCACTTACATACATGTAAGCAACACATATACACACAAATATAAAAAAATTAAATTTTTTTGTCTTTTTGAGACAGGGTCTCCCTATAGCCCCAGCTGGCCTGGAACACGCTATATAGACTGGGCTGGCTTCAAACTCACAAAATCTGCCTGCCTCTGCCTCCCAAGTGCTGGAATTAAAGGCATGTGCCACCACGCCTAGCAACTAAAACTTTCAGTTTAAAAAGAAAAGTAATATTCAAATAGGAACAAGCACTTTTGTGTATGCAGACACATATGTATATATAAGCCATCTCACCGGCCCCCACCTTGTTTTTTGAGACAGGGTCTCTCACTGACCTACAGCTTGCTGATTAGGTTATGCTAATGAGCTTTAGGGCTCCACCTGTCTCCATCTCCAGATACTGGACTTACAAGCACATGCTACCCGCCTGGCTTTTTTTTTTTTTTGGGTCTTTTTGAGACAGGGTCTCCCTATAGTCCCAGCTGTCGTGGAACCCACTATGTAGACCAGGGTGGCCTTGAACTCACAGAGATCTGCCTGCCTCTGCCTCCCGAGTGCTGGGATTAAAGGTGTGTGCCACCATGCCTGGCCCTCCTGGCTTTTTTATGTGAGTTCTAGGGATTGAACACATGGCAAACACTCCACCAATTGAGTAATTCCCTTAGATCCTGGATACATCCTTTTTGTTTTAAAAACAGGCTCATCCCAAACTGGCCTGGAACTCATTATGCAGACCAGGTTGGCCTTAACCTCAAAGAGCTCCACTGCCTTCCAAGTGCTGGGATTAAAGGTGTGTGCCACCAAGCCCAGCCTAGACACATCCTTTTTGGACAGGATCACAGGCTGGAGAGATGGCTCAGTGGATGAGAGCACTTACTGCCTGTAGACCCAGATTCAATTTCTAGCACCCACATGACAGCTAACACTGGCCCTTAAACTCTAGTTCCAGGGGATGTGACACCCTCTTCCGGCCTCTTCAGGCACCAGGCATGCATGTGGTGCAATCCATACATGCAGGCAAAACACACATACACATTGAAAAACAAGACAAAGACAGGGTCTTTGTTACTATGTCAGTATATAGCCCTGGCTGGCCTGGAACTCACAGAGATCCCCATCTCTGCCTCCCAAGTTCTGGGATTAAAGATATGTGCCATCATACTCAGCCATGGAGACATTTTTTTTTTTGGTCTGTTTGAGACAGGGTCTCCTTATAGCCCAAGCTGTCCTGGACTCACCATGGAGACCAGGCTGGCCTCAAACTCACAGAGATCTGCCTGCCTCTGCCTCCTTAGTGCTGGGATTAAAGGTGTGCGCCACCAAGCCCGGTGAGACTTTTTTTTTTAAAGGTAAAAACAAAACAAATATCATGAAGAGGGCACAGAAACCTCTAATGTTAATGAAGATAACCTTTCAAAGTCAGAAAAGGTGAAGACAAAGTGATACCAGGGACTACCATCACCCCACATTCAGGCTGGAAGCCAGCCCTTCACTACCTGCCTCCCCCACATTCAGCCATCTCTGTCTGAGGTTCACCTGAATCTATTTTCTCTCTATCTCCAATACCACTGCCCAGGTCAAGTCACCACCATCCTCGGCTGAGGAAACACCTAATGTCTCCACACTCTGTGGCCCTTCCAGCTCAGAGAAGCCTGGTAGGGTCAGGGCAGGGGAATTCAAGAACCAGTCCCACCTCTACCCTGTACAGAGCTCAAAGAGTATGACAAGACTTGGGGCAAACTGTCTGACACTTGTCACCGAGGGGATGTCCTGTTAGGGCTGGGTGGGTCTTACTGTGCTCAAGCCCTGACCCACAGGGGTCTCAGAAGAGGTGAGTTGAGATGCATCCTGCTAACTGTTGGCAGTTCCATCCAAACTCCTGTCTCTGTCAAGCTGAGCCTTAAGAAGACACTAGAAGAGGCTCTTGGGGCTGGGAACCCTGCTCTGCCCATCTTCACCTGTGCAGGCCACAGGCCCTGCTGCCAGCGACAGTCTAAGCAGACCAGACTCAACAGAGAGGCTTGAGTGTGGCCTCTGAGGCAAAATGCTGTGGCCTTTGTCTCCCTAAAGAGCAAAGAGCAATGAGGGGAGCCAAGCCAAGAAAACCTGGCCCAGAGTTGCACTTGCTAATGAGGATTTGGGTAGATACTAGGGCAGATATGATGTCAGCAGGTAGGTATCAACTATGGCCATAAGCCCTTTTCTTCTTCCTTTATTTTATGTGTATGAGTGTTTTGTTCATATATGCACCACATGTGTGCCTAGTGCCCACAGAGGCCAGAAAAGGGTGTTGGATCCCATGGAACTGGAATTACAGCAGTTATGAGCCATCATGTAGGGGCTGGGAACCAAACCCAGGTCTTCTGCAAGAATAGCTAGTGCTCTTAACCACTGAGTCGTCTGTCCAGCCCCAGTACAGCTCTTTCTTTTGAGCCCTGGCTTTACAGCCATAAACCCTATCTGTTCTCAAGAGGCACTTCCTCTAGGATGGCAGCAAGCCATGGGCTAGCATGGGAGACGGCAGCACAGAACACTGACCCCAGGCTCCTCAGGCTTTGCTAGGCTGCACAGCATGACTCTGGCCTTGGAGACAGATAGCAGTACAGAAATCTGTTCTCCCAGTGGGCTGTAGGGAGCAGCTTGGCAACCTAAAGACTCTCGCCTATCTGCCAAGGAAGGGGAACCTGGCCCTGCAGTCAGCTTGGGAAGTCATCAGCCACAGTGCCACAGTCCCAACTGGGTGGGCCTTAGTTGCCATCCAGCTATGCCCTGCCTCACTGTGACCTCTTTCCCAGAGCCTCTGTTATCTCTACTGTCACTCAGAGTCAAGAGCCATATGCCCAGCCCACAAGGTGCTACCCTCACCCTCAGTTCAAATGAAGTCGCCAGCTAGTAGACCCCAGAGCTAGGACTTCCCAATTATAAGGTTTGTGAATACCCCAGATGGGGCTGGTCTGATGAGGCATGTCTATCCTTAGCTTTAAGCACAGGTCCTGACATACAGGTTTTGTTCAGGGCAGAGTACACGAACCAATCAACCCATGAGCTTCCAGGCAGACCCAGGGTGGGGATGGTCCAGGCCTTCACAAGGGGAGGGGCCTGTGCTGTGCAGTCTGCTGTCCAAGAAGGCCTACAGCTGTGTCTTTTGCCACTGCCCTCTTCTAGGGACACTGCCAGGCCCCTATTCCTCCCTAGTCTCAGAGCCTGGTGACCTCCTTCCTGCTTGGAGCCTAGACCTTGATCTGGGGCCCAGTTTGCCAATGTCTCTACCCTAATACCCACCCTTTGCATCCCACTCCAACACCACCCCAGTAGCAACCTCACCATGTTCATGATCGTTAGCACATAGCTTTCCACCTGTGGCTGCCCGTGGTACTCCACCATTTTGGCATCGGCCACCACCAGGGTCTCCACCCACTTCTCTTTGCTGACTGACCGCTGGTGCAGACGTCTCACTCGAGGCTGCTGTTGTCGCCACTGCTGCCGTCGTTCCCAACGCTCCCTCCGGGTCTCCAGCTCTGGGGACACTGTAGGGCCAAGATGGGATGGGTGAAATGCCCCAGGCACATGTCTCCAGGGAAGCTCCTTAGAAAGCTCTCTCTGGCATAAAAACAACAGCGCTGGGATAAGAGGCCAGAGTTCTAGATTACCCTCCTGGGTCTACCCCAGAACTGTGCTGTGTGACCCTCAGTAGGTCACTTCCCTTCTCTGATATGGGATTCTCAAGATTATTTCTATAAATAAACTCAACTGCCTCACAAGGTGACCCTGGAGGCAAATGAAATGGTAGGCATAAATCCAATAAAGTGGGGCTAGAGAGATTGTTCAGTGGTCTAGCACTGGCTGCTCTTCGAGGGGACCTAGGTTCAGTTCTCAGCACCTACACAGTGTCTAACAACTGTCCATAACTCCAGTTCTAGGGGAGCTGATGCACTCTTCTGGCCTCCTAAGGAACTGTACAGACATAGTGCACCTATATACATGAAGGCAAAACACTTATACACATAAAATAAATAAATAAATAAATAAATAAATAAATAAATAAATAAATAAATAAATAAAATGTTTTTTTAAAAAAAAACAGTAAAGTCTTGTGCCTAGCTGAGGGAAGTTCCTGGGTCCACAAAGCCAGAGACTGGGTCCCTGGTTCCCCATGTTGCTCCCTCCCTGGCTGAGGGGTTAGTGGTCTAACCTTCAACCTGGGAATAGTCAAGACCCAGATCCATTGATGGCCTGCTCCTCTACCTTGGGCTGCCTCAAGGTAGAGAAGGAAGCACATCTATGAAACTAGGGAAGCTGAGGCCACGAGCTATGTCTCTGTGGACAAATGGAGTCCCTGAGATGCGGGCAGCCACAGGTTGGCATGTGAGCTGAGCAGCCTCTGGTAGACAGCTCCTTGTCCGAAGTCTTCCGTAGTGGAGATGCCAGGCACTGAGCAGCAGGCCACCAGTAACAGAGGTCGGTTACTCTGGATGGAAGATGGGCAAGGAAGGCAGGAGGTTCCTCAACAATAGCCCGGGGGGACAGGCCACGGATGGCCCAGCCACTTGGAGAACAGTCGTTGGAGTCAGAGGTGCCCTTAGCAATATGAGCAGGGAGCAGAGGAAGATGGAGTGCCAAGGAGGGCAGGCAGGTGAGCAGCAGCAGGAGGGCCAGTCCAGGAAATCTTCTGGGCAACCTGACAGGCCCAGGTCACAGGCCCATGGCACATCAAAGGCTGTGATGGAAGCCTGCCAGTGTTTCTATTCATTCCACCTCTTTTATCCATCTATCTATCTATCTATCTATCTATCTATCTATCTATCTATCTATCTATCTATCATCTATCTATGTACCTCTAATCAGGGGAGCTGGGCATGGAGGTATTGAGAGAGGTTTCTAGAAAGGCCCTGTGTCTTCAGGTCATCCCCTGTCACAGTTCCATGGGGAAGTACATACCTTGCACCCCACAAGTGCCAGAAGCCCTAGAGCTATCCTGCTTGGCCTGAGGCTCAGGGGCTTGGCGCTTGTACACCAAGTGGGGTTGGGCATGTCCGGGCTGGGCTGGAACTCCATCCAAGGGCTCAATGAAGTAGTCCTCATTGGAGAGTTGGAACACACCTTTCTGGGGAAGGATCATGAGGGTCACACGGGGAAGGCTGGCACCTGCTGCCTTTCCACACACCCCAGAGGCCTCTCCTGCCCAGCTGACCTCCACCAGTACCTCCCCCCACCTGAACCAACCACAGACATATAGGGTGACTCCCTCCAGCTGGGCCATCACTGATGCTTTGCATCTTTCCCTGCTGTTCCACACAGCCAAAGGCTTCAAAGCAGAGCTCAGGCTCTTTCTAGATGCTTCTCAAAACATCTCTGAGAATTCTGCTCCTCACACCATTAGGAGGGAGAAAGGGGTCTGCATCGTCCACAGTCCCAGGCAACCCTGCCGAGTCAGGCAGCCCATGTCCAGGCCTCCAAGCTGTTTTGCAGCTCCTTTGCACACCACTATGGTCCCTTCCAGCTGGCCATAACTTCTGATGGACCTTCAGTCTCCCTGAGGCGATGAATCACTCAAAAGCAGCTCTGCCACACCCAAGGCACCCAGATGCCATTACCACCAAAACAACCTGCTCCTCGGGTCCACAGCTGGACAAAGAAGGGATGCTGGCAGGGGCACTTTGGACACTGTGTTTGGCATCAAGAGTTCAGGGAATGGTCCTGAACCATCCAGGCAGCCTCCTATGCCCTAGGGAAGCTACCATTCCAACAAGAAGAAGGTGTGAGCTTCCTCAGACTTTCCCTTCTGGCATCAATTAGACCCCATGGGTCATTCAGAGTCAAGGAGCCCAGGGTGCTATAAAATGCACCTGCTCTAGAAACTAACTGGTGACCTTGGGCAAGTTCCTCTCAAAGCCTGTTTCCTTATCTGTAGAATAGGAACCATGTCCCCTATACCTGGGTCCCCACATAGGGAGCTACATCTGAGAGGCAAACACAGGCTCCTAAACCAGAACATGTTACTACACACATGGGCTTCTGGGGCCCAGGTATTCTGAGGCCCATCATGTGTGCTACGTCACTGGGCCCATGACTTTTGCCTGAGCCATCTCAGCTGAGAGCTATTTGAAAGCCGGGCTTTCGTGTATGCATAAAGTCCACTCCATGCCTGCACCCCCACCCCCCACCAGGAGCTTGGAGGGCAGAAGCAGAAAGGGGACAATTAGGACTGCAGGTAGAGCCAGCATCACTTTTGAGCCTGGTAAAGACAGGAAGCAGAAGGCTTTCCTGGGAGCTCTGGTCTGAGCTACGAAGTGGCTAAGGGCAAGGAACCTAACTAGGTTGCTGCAGAGCATTAGTCCTAACTGATAACCCAGAGGAAGAGCTGTTTGCTTGGCCTCTGCAAACACTGGTGCTCCACACGGAATCCAGCACCTTCTATCCTACCTGGGACATTTTCAGGAATGCAAGGGTTGGTTCCTAAACCATACCCACCCTGCCAAAAATCATTTTAATAGACCCATGGGAATCTGGCTCACATAGAACTTTCAGATTTGCTGTCCTACAGACGTGCCACACTTTCCTTCATGGAGACTGGCTGAGAAAAAGGGCATTGGTCAAAGCCACCAGGCAACTGTGTGACAAAGCTAGAGGCACAGCCAGTGTGGCACCCACCCCATCCCCTCCAGATGCACACCCCAGAGAACTTACTAGGCCATCACAAGCACTGATGGCTGCAAGGCCACCTTCCAGTTCTGGGTCCTGCACATCACCGAGCAGGTAGCAGGCTGGGACATGGGTTCGGATATATGTGTGGCCCAGATTGCTGCGACGCCGAATCTCACTCACAAAACCTGGCGCCAACAGGTGCGGGTTGGCGGTCAGGTTGAAGAGCAGCTCTCGCCCACGGTACTGCAGCTGGTAGAAAGCGGAGGAGGCCCGGAGCCGAGACACATCCCGCTTGCGCAGCACCCGTGGCCACAGCTCGTAGGACAGGAAGGAGCCCCCAGCATCCACACGTACCGGGTGCACGATGTCCAGGGCCTCCCGACCCTCAGTTGTGAGACCTGCAGGGAGAGGGCTGCATGTAAGTCCAAGTTTCAAACTGATCACGAGGGACCAGAGAAGGGGCGGCTGAGAGAAGGCAATTGGGGTCAGAACGCGTAGACGCTCAAATCCCTACTAGCAGAGCATGGTAAAGCAGGCCTATAACCGCAGGGCTCAGGCCCGTGGGACCACTTGGAGTAGGAGGGCAGCCTCTACTATATAGCAATACCCTATCTCGGGAAAAGCAAAACTAAATTCTCTGTGCTTTCTACTAGCTCTGTTATTTCATCTCTCCACTTCAATAACGTCATCTGAATTCTCACAGTGACTTTTTTTTTTTTTTGGCCTTTTTGAGACAGGGTCTCCCTGTAGTCCCAGCTGACCTGGAACTGGCTATGCCTTGGAGTCACAGAGATCCTGATGCCTCTGCCTCCTGAGTGCTGGGACTAAAGGCTGGCACCACCACACCCCGCCCACAGTAACTTCTTAACCCACCTCCCTGCTTCCCCCTGAGGAGCCCTCAGTAGATCTATTTTCAACATGGCAGCCCACAGTCCTACTCTGCTTACAATCCTGAGGTAACTCTCATCTCACTTAGAGCAGAAGACAGTGGTGAAGGAGGCCCTAGGCAAGGGGACTTCTCCAATCTCCTCTCCAACTACTCCTCCTTAGAACCCTCCCTCCACAGGTCGCACAGGTCTCTTGAGACCCTCAGCAGGGACTCCCATGTCAGGATTTTGCACTAGTGTTCCCTGTGTCTAGCACACTCTTCTGTCTCTTTCACCTTTGCTCTGAGCTACTCTATGTTGTCAGAACAGCAGCTTTCAGGCTGAGCCTGGCCCTCAGTCAGCCCAACAATTTTCATCGGTCACTTCACTTTGTGTCAAGGTAAAAAAGATAGCATTTGGGGGCTGGAGAGGCGGCTCAGCAGTTAACAACACTGGTTGTTCTTGCAGAAGACCCGGGTTTGAATCCCAACACCCACATGGTAGCTAACAACTGTCCACAACTCCAGTTCCAAGGGATCCAACAGCGTCTTCTGTCCTCCGAGGGCACTGAACGACACGGGTGCACTTACCTACATGCAGGTAATGCACACATATACATAAAATAAAAAATTTTTAAATTTTGAAAAAATGATAGCATTTTGTTTATACAAGTGAACAACTTCCATTTCCTAGAACACCATGAGGCCCTGACTGGTAAATAATTTATATGTGCCAATAAAGAATTATACTTATAGCTGGAAATAATGGTGTACATCTTTAATCCAAGCACTCAGGAGGCAGAGGCAGGCAGATCTTTGTGAGACTGAGGCCAGCCTGGTCTATATAGCGAGTTCCAGGCCTGTTAGTGCTATAGGAAGACCCTATCTTGAAAAAAAGAATTACACCTATGAATATACCAAATAATATCAGAAACACCAGACACATAAGCTTTTCACACCAGATGGAGCCTTCTCACCTTGAACTATAAAAGGAGCACTTCTAAGACTGAGATGTAGCAGGGCTGATCCACTACCCCATCATTCATCACAAACCTTATTCAGGAAAAATGCCAGTGAGGGAACTCCATCTGGTCCAGGGCTGTAGCTCAAGTAGTTTCTCTGCCAGGGACACATGGCCCATTTCAAACTGACACTCAAAACTGTAGCCATCTAGATCTGCATTTGCTAACTCTGAGCCTTGAATAGCTCATTCACTTGTTATTCATAAATCTTCATCTCTTCCCTGCTTTGAACCCTGCTGCCTCTTTAACCCTCTCTTAGTCATTCTATAACATATATATGTGTATATATATATATATATATGATGTAGAGCATGATGTGCATCAAAGAGTTAATATTAATAATTAAGATGAGGTTAGGGGCTGGAAGAATAGCTCAGTTGGTAAAGTGCTTGCTATGTAAGCATGAAGATTTGAATTCAATGCCCAGAACCTAGGTTAAAGAAAAAAAAAGAAAAACACAGGGGACGTGGTAGCATGCACCTTTAACCCCAGGGTTCAGGAAGTAGAAGCAAGTGGATCTCTGTGAGACTGAGGCCAGCCTAGTCCAAATAGTGACTTCCAGGCGGGCTGAGAGTAGGGAGATCCTGTCGTCCCCTCCCCACCCCGCCAAAAAAAAAAAAAAAAATTAGGGACTGGAGAGTTGGCTCAGTGATTAAGATTACTGCCTGCTCTTGCAGAAGAACTGGGCTCAATCCCCAGCACCCACATGGCAGCTAACAGTACATAGCTCCAGTTCCAGAGGATCCAATGCCTTTTTCTGTCCTCCTCAGGCATTGCATGACAAGGGTGCACTTACATGCTGGCATAACACTCATATACATAAATTTTTTAAATTTTTTTAAAAAATTATTTTACGTGTATTGCCTGTGTGTAGGCAAGTGCACCTATGTTGTGTAATGCCCACGGAGGACAGAAGAGGCTGTCGGATCCCCTGGAACTGGAGTTCCGTACTGTTATTAGCTGCCATGTGGGTGCTGGGATTCGAACCCGGGTCTTCTGCAAGAACAACCAGTGTTCTTAACTGCTGAGCCATCTCTCTAGCCCCATAGATAATTAAAAAAAAAAAACAAAACAAAACAAACAAACAACAACAAAAAAAAACAATAGAAAAAGAAAAACTAACCCAGGCGTGGTGGCATGGGCTTTTAATCCTAGCACTGGGCAGACGGATAGGAAGATCCCTAAGCTTCCTAGTCAGCCATTCTAATCTAATTGATGAGCTCAGACCAATAAGAGACTGTCTCAAATGAGGTAGACAGAGCTCCTAATGATGATACCCAAGGTTGTTCTCTGTCTTCTACACGTATACATACATGCTGCACACACACACACACACACACACACATACATGAATTTTTTTTAATGATGAGAATAAAAGACCTTATTTGTGGGGTTAAGAGCACTGACTGCTCTTGCAGAGGACCTGTGTTCAATTCCCAGCACCCACATGGCAGCTACAAACCATTCTTAACTCCAGTTCCAGGGGAATCCGAAGCCCTCTTCTGACCTCCATGGCACTGCATGACACAGGTGCACTCACATACATGCAGGTAATACACTCATACACATACAATAAAAATAATAAAAAAAAATTAAAAAAAAAAAAGACCTTGTTTGCTGGGGGCTGGGGAGATGGCTCCGCGGTTAAAGAACCTGCTGCACAAGCCTGAGGACTTGAGTTCAAATCTCTAGAACACACATTAAAAAAAAACAGGCATGGTGTCATGGACCAGTGACCTGGGAAGGGGGTGTGGAATCAGGCAGAACCCTGAAGGTCATTGGCCAGCTAGACTAGCTCAACTGATGAGCTTCAGGTTCAGTGAAAAACATTGTTTCAAAAAACAAAGGTAGAGGGGCTAGAGAGATGGCTCAGCACTTGGCTGCTCTTCCAGAGGACCCTGGTTCAGTTTCTAGCACCCACATGGCAGCTAACAACCATTCTTAACTCCAGTTCCGAGAGATCTGGCGCCCTCTTCTGATCTCCATGGGCATTCCATGCATTTGGTGCACTTACATACATACACGCAGCCAAAATACTCACATATATAAAATTTTAAATAAATGTGGAGAATGGAGGAAAAAAATGCCCAATGTCTACCTCCAGCCTCCACATGCACACACATGCATGTGCACACACATTAACAAGTACAAGTACACACACACTAAACACAAACCTGTTTGCTAATGGCCACAGTATCAAGTAAAATGGGGAGTACTTGGTGAATTACAACCAACCAACTTAATGTAAATTCTGACATTGGGTTAAGATATACATATGTCTGTTTCTGACACAGTCTATTCATGACAACCTCCTTCAAGTCCTTGCTCAAATGTCTCTCTGTGAAGCCTTCCTCAATTTTATTTTAATGCTGTGACTCACTGGCTCCTCTGTCATCTCAGCCTTATTTTCCCTCATGGCGCTCTGACACACCCCATCATTTAACATTTTCATTATGTTTCCCTTTTAGTTTTTCTCTCCCAATGTAACCTTTAGGAAGGCAAGAATCTTTATATTCTTTGTTGAAGATTCTAAGTGCTGGAAGTGTCTGGAACTTAGTTGTTTTTCAGGAAATGTTTGTTGAATGAATGTGTCAATGGAATAATAACAGAACTTAGACTTTGGGGGCTCTCCTGGGAACTGAATGTACTGAGCTACCCTATAGAGCAGCACTTGGCCCACCAACTTCAATAACCATTGTTAGGATTGTCACTCCTCTGGTACATTACAAAATGTGTTCTCAGGTGCCTGTGGGGGTCTGCAAGTGTTTGTTGGCCTCCTGGGATGGGGAGGACCACCCAGGTGGGACTCTCTGAAGCCAGTCTACCCATCTCAATGCAGTAGCCCTGATTCTTTTTCTTTCTTTCTTTTCTTTCTTTTTTTCTTTTTTTTCAATTACAAAAGAGTTTATTTTGGCTTAAACTTCCAGAGAGGAGAGTCCATAGTGGCCCTGAGTTCTTTCTCTGCAAAAGCTTCTATGAAGGAAGGGCTCCAGGGCTGGAGAAAGCCTACAGAGCTCAGCACAAGCCTTTAGGGCTTGAAAAACTCTCCCTGTCACTCTGTCCTCTTAAGATTTCCTGGAAAGGCAAGGATTCTTCAGGTTTGCTTGTTTGTTTGCCATGATTTCGTCTCAGAAAAAGGAGGACCAAGGAAATTGATTATATTGAAAGACAGCTATCAAAATAACTTTAAAAGTAGAGTATGGAATTACGTAGTCATTTACTGAATCATTAAACAATGTCTAATGGCAACTCTAGTCATTTTGAAGCAGTGATGAGTATAAAAACAATTCAAAGTATCTGCATCAAGTGTAATGAGATAAGAAAACTATCTGCAGGACTCAGTCAATAAAGTGCTTGCCTTGTGAGAATGCGTTCAAGCCCCAGACCCACATAAAAAGTCAGGTGCGGTGAATCATGCATATAATCCCAGTGAGACAGGAGGATCCCTGGGGACTCAAAGGCCAGCTAGCCTGGCTAAACTGGTGAGTGCTGGGCCAATGAGTGACTCTGT